TGTGATATGAAAGCAAAGCTTGATGTACACTTGAGGGCACGCACATACTTTACTGTATGTGACATAAACACAATTTGAGAAAAACCATTATGAAGTTGTAGTATTCCATAATGTTTGATAATTTTCTTAATAAATCCTATTGTAAAATTGAAAAAATTCCTATAAATAGAGAAATTATCATGGTATGGGTAACTAGCATTTCCTGCCGCGAACGGAAGTTTCCAATCCCTTTCATTTACTCTAATATCTATGATACTAGTGATGGGCGAATCCAGAAATTTGCATTCGATTCCGATTCTGAATACTTCTGAGACTGGAATCGATGGAATCGAATACCGATTCCGAGACTACCTCTGCGCATGCGCAAAGCCACGTGGTATCAATTACAGCAATAATTAAGGTATTAACTACTGATTTATTAACTATTATTAATAATTAAAAGGTGCGGTTGGGTGTGGTTTAATTCGGAATCGTTTCAAACGATTCCTGCTTCTCTTTCGATACGAGTACGATTCCATTCGGAATCGAAGGATCGAATACTCCGGACTCGGAATCGCCCATCACTACAAAATACTATGCTTCATTGAAATTTAATTTCCTAGTGCAGGCTGCAGTGTAGTGTAGAGCTGAGAGCTCAAAGGATAATGTGTGAATTTATTCCTATACTGTTAATAACTGTGTTTCATGTGTTTCTTGGTCTCATAAATCTTGGTGTTGGACGTCCTTTCATTGCTACAAGCTCATTGGGATACTATCTCATGTCAGCCGCACCACCAATGCCACTCACTGTTCTCTCTATCTGTATTCATCTATTCATAATTGTTGCATTAGTTCTGTGTGTTTGCAAGGGCAAATAGCACACTACTCAATTCATTATTTGATCACTACCACTATACCAGGTAAATGATACTAATCATGAACTACATTGTACATTACATTGTCTTCTATGCAGATAACAGATCCTTCTTATATAAATGACAGTTAATTATGTACTTCATGCATTGGCTGCATAACATGTATTGTTGTATTGTTGTCGTCTTCATTCCATTAATTAGTGGGAGTAATTCATTATATATATATTCCATATTTCCTTTAATAATAGCTATATTTATGTAAAATATGATATCTTATTCCATTCATGAGTGGACAGGTCTAATCTCTTTAACACTACCCACCACATTCTATCATTCTTGTCACGAATACCATGAAATACCAGTACCTATTAACGTATCTATGAATAAGATTGTTGCAATTGTCCTGCATATACAACTGAAACAAGTGAAAACAAACTCATCTGATCCACTCTGGGATGGTCAAGGTTGTGGTTCTCTTGAATCCTCTTGTTGTAATGTTCCTGGTATCCCATGGTTTCACAGAGACTATGGTAGCAATACCACTACTGACTATATTGAGTTGAGGGTCTGTGCTAGTGGTGGTACTTACGAAGAAGACATCCCCATTGGCTATTATGAGATTTATGTCAAGTAATCAGCCTATTATGAATGGAACCAGGAGCCCATGGAACTCAATGCTTATTTCTTGCCTACTGACTTTTTGCTGCTATAATGCTGCTACATTGCTACAATAAATGATTTTTGCTAGAGTTTTATTACTTTAGTTGCTGCACCATGCATTAATTATAATTGTTGATTTCAATGAGCAGAATTGCAGCAGCGAAGTATGCATTAAGCTTATGAGTTTTAATAAAGCACAGACTACAAAGCCACTTGGGAAAATGGTCATTGGTCCATAACAGGTAATATTTTGTTAAGTTAAGAATAAATTAGATGCAAAATGAGAGTGAAGCGAACTAATGGAATCAATGCTGTGTCATGATCTTAAAATGTTGATGGAGCCACAGTTTGCTGTTTTATAATGCAAGCAGAAGAGAGTAAACAATTGACAATTAGTACACTTAATGTGTTTTAAGCACAACATTCTCCATGTAATGCTTGTGGTATGTAGAAAGTTTAGATAACAGGTCGGCAGCAAATGTTGTGTATTTTGAGCTTAAAATAAGTTAATCCAGCTAGGGTACGGGAAATTTTTAGATTAGGGTGCATGCATGGTGAAAGTAGCTCAAGACAGTTCCATTGCTTCATAAAATCAATTTTGTATCACAAATTGATACATTATAAGTTTGAATTGATCCTAACAATGAAATTGAGCCATTTGTTTTGTTTACATCTTATGTCATCTGATTGTTTTCAGTTTGTTCTGCTTTAGTTCCACATGACCGAACTTAGTTGCATGATACATCAAGAAGGCATTCATTCACATAGCATGTAAAAAAAGAGGGAAGTTTTAAGCTAAAGAAAAGATCCATTATACATGTAATATGCTACACTGATGATCAATATTTTATTCCTTACGTTAATGGCTATATAACAAAGTGTATACTCTATTCCTGCAGTAAATGACTGAAGGATATAATAGTTAGCTACAGGAAGTTTTCTCAAATGAGTAGTTTATTATCAAAATAATAAGTTTTGTTAGTTCAGTCTTGTGAAAGTAAGGATGGAAAGGAATTATACTTTTACTGGAGATTTCAGTCCTGAGGCAGTAGCAGGAGTTCTTAGTATTGAGATGATACTAGCTCTCATAGCTAATGGTGTTGTATTGGTGATTACCTTTTACCAAAAGAAGTCCTTCAAGCACTCATCAACAGTATTCTTCACTTCTCTCATACTGGCACACCTTGCATTAACTCTGCTGTATCTTCCATTCACAATCACTTCATTTTTTGCTGGTGAGTGGATCATCGGTAGCACTGATAATGAGAAGCAAGGAACGTGTGATTTCACTGCTTTTATGATAATCACTTCTGCTTACATCATGTATATGACATTGAGTCTCATATCAATTGATCGGTTCCTTTTTATTGTAAAGCCTCATCTCCACAAGCGGTTCATGAGTCCAAGGGTAGCTCTGGTCCTTGTCATTATTGTGTGGATAGTCAATTCTGTCTTTTTCTCTTCAGGATTCATTGATGGATCTGGTATAGCATACCAGTATGTGGCTCCTCTAGGAGTCTGTAATGCTCTTACCATCAGTCAAGCTATGGCAATCATTTGATTTCTAGTGATACTAATCCTGTTGTCCATTATTGTCATTACATCAATTTGGACATTTTGTTTCACTCGCAAGTTTATGAATAACCAGTCGATGATAGTAGGAGAGAGTGTCTATGCTTCAAAGAAGAAGAGGTTGTTTGGGATATTTGGATCAATGCTACTGGTCTACGGGATATGCTTTATTCCTGGTGCTTTCTTGTCCTCCTTTTTAGCAATACTTGATGCTCCTGACGCACTCATTATTTTGTCCCTTGTGTTTTTCATCTTAGCTTTGATCTTAAGTCCAATTGTTCAATCATACTTCAGGCCAGAGATTAAGAGTGTCATTGTTTGGATTTGTCATAAGATGATGCGTAAACCTAATCTGACGGCATCAAAGAATTCAGCAGTCACGCACGATACAAACATTGATTCAGTCACTTGAATTTGGAACTTTAAACCTTGTAATACTACTGACTGTAATTATAGTAACTTATCAATAACCATACTTTTATTATACTTTTTGCATTAATAGTGCTTGTTGTATATATGAGAATACATTGTGTTAATAACAATTATTGTTTCACATGCCACAGCTAATTGCATTGGATTCCATTGGTATGACATCAGTAGTATAGGAGTGGCACTACTCCTTACTATTAAGGAGTCCCAATCATGTTAGTAACTGAAGCATGCAGTGAGGAATGCTTGCTATTATTGCATTATTATGTACTGTGGTTTGCAGTACACAGGTATCTATTTATGTCTACACCCAACAGTGTTCCCCTTTGATATAATAATATCATTAATACCAATAATTGTACAAAGTATTCTCTCCTCATATTTTCAAGAAAAAATCACGTGAAATTACCCAAAATTTTCCTCAGAAATTACACTATGCATGTACATGTATATTTATGAGAGCATAACGATACCTTATTTACATACATGCACATGCATGTACTCAATGGATTTTTAAAGCTATTTAAAATGCTGTGTACTTAAGTAAAAAATATATACATGCTATTGTGGTGCTTGTCAGCTCATGAAGAATGCATGCTTTTTAACATGCTCTATTAGAAAATCTGGTGTTAATAGTAATTGTTGTGATACAGTGTATATACTGATTGAAATGATATACAATTCACTTTGTAATTTATCAATCAACAAAAAGAAGTAGAACTGATAAATAATAACAATAACAATAAGACAAACATTGACATAAGTGTAATGTTGATTTATAATACAATAAACAGAATCAGGTACAAAGACAAAAAGAGAGAGAGTGGGTGGGAGGTTGGAGTGTATAGATAATCACTTGTTTCCTTTTATCAAGTAATCTTTAGCTTCGTTGATCTTTGCAGCAAGATAAGGTGACCCTCCCCTATCAGGATGATTGAGTAACATTATTTGTCGGTGGGCCACTCGAATACGATCAGGAGGAGATGAAGGGCTGACCCCTGTAATTAGAAGATAATAATTAATACGGTCATGATTAAAAGTTGTACAGTAGGTCAGTAGCAGTGATCTAAACTGTACATGTGTAATCTAAAATGTATGATGGTGCATATGATATGTATGTGTTTGATAAATTAAGTGAATCAAGGCTGGTTTACAATATTATGCTAGGTAGACTTGGCGTAATGACATTACATTGACGATGGGATAGAATTCGGCTCTATTCTAGTATCAATTGTCAAACCACCCACGCTTTTGATTAATTGACAGTATCATATGTACAAAATTGAAAATTATTATAATAATTACAACAAACACATTCCTTCCCCTGTACCTAGAATCAAACCAGCCTCTCTCCTGTTCATATTCTTCTCGAACCCTCCTCTGTAGTATGTACTCAGCAACTGGTCTGTCTGTATTTTAGACATTTTCTTTTGAACTTCTCGAAAGTTCCTCATCACCACACGAGCAGTGAGGGCTGTGGCAGCTATACCAATCCCCGCTAGCATTAGAGAGGTCATTTTTGTTCTCTTTGGAGTTGAAGGTGCTCAAATGGAGGCTCAAAATAAAGCAGATTGAAAAGTTCTCACTTACAAACAGGTAGCCATTTAAAAGTGACGCAATAATGAGATAGGCGTGGCTTAGTAGCTAATTAATCTAATTGCCTACTTTATTAATATTCATAGTTATTGCAACAATTCACAAGACGGACAAATTGATGCCTGTGTTAATCAGGGCTTGTTCTTGTGAGGTTTAACAGCTTGTGTTATCACACCAACTGATGAATTGGACCAGGAATGAGCTAATGAATTATTTAAAATAGTGATAAATAATAATAATAATAATGATGGTGATAACAATATTCTATTGATTCTACTTAGGAATTCACTGCTTAGGAACACAAAGTATGCAATAGTTTTGTACTGTCGTACAGGTATTTATTCAGATTTGGGTTCTTCAGCTTTTGGTTCCGGTTCCTCAGCTTTTGGTTCCAGTTCTTCAGCTTTTGGTTCCGGTTCCTCAGCTTTTGGTTCCGGTTCCTTGGCTTTCGGCTCAACAGCTGTTGCTTGAGCTACCGGCTCTTCAGACTTTGGTACTGCAGCTTGAGGCTCCTCTTGAGTCTTTGGTTGCTGCTGTCTGGCCTGGCGAGGCTGCTGTCTCACAGGTTCCTCGTTACGTCTTTGCTGCTGGGGAGCAGGTGGAGGATTACGTGGAGGCGGTCCACAGCAAGACTTGCAGTAGCCACAGCAGCAGGTCCAGAGACAACACTTGCAGCATAACCAACAACACCAGCAACCTTAAATGGATAAGTTAATATAATTATAAATAAATATAATATTGTTATTGTTGTAAGCCTACAGTATTGGTATATCTATGGTGTTATTAGTCAGAATTAGCCAAAAATTCATTTTTGTAATACAATAAAATGCAATTAAAATTACTCTAAATTATTGTACTGTGAAATGATCAATTTATAATTAAATTGCTGCAAAAATGAGATAACATAACCACAAACTATCACCAAGAGAGAGGGAGAGAGTATATTAGAGTACATGTGTACCATTCCTATATAATTGTTTATACACTTTGTACAATACATACCAACATCAGTTCTGTTAGAGATGATTGTGTGCTTACACTAAAATTACATTCTCTCTTTCTCCTTGTGTTTATTATTTACTATTGTACCATCCACACATATTTACTATCATTATTCTATTGCTCACAGTATACACAGCCCCAATTATATTTTAAAAATACTGTTTTGACTAGATCTATACAATTCATGCACTTTTATGAATGTATGAACATACCTGGGTATTCACTCATACAATCATAGCAACCTTCCTTGGCACTCTCCTTCAAAACACTAGCACTGGCTGAGACCATCTTCTGTGGAAAAACTGAGAGCTCTTCGCTGACAATGGCTGGAACCTTCTGTAGCTCTTCTTGGACCATTTGCGAAGTATTCTTAAGTTGCTCTTGAATGCGCTCGTTAATTCCTTCCATTTGAGAGCCAACTTGCTGGCTCATTTTAGGCAGCTCTCCTTCAACTGTCTCAGACACTTTGGCAAGCTGTTCTTGAATCTTGTCAGATGTTTTCTCAAGCTCGGTTCCAACACGATCTGGGATCTTTTGCAGCTCATCTCCAATTTTGTCAGGGATCTTACTGATTTGGCCCTCAACTAGCTCAGGGAGCTCCTGCAATCCTTTCAAACCATCAACAGCATCTCCAACACCACTCAAGAAAGACATGATCCTACACTAAGAGCTATAGCCAAAGAGAAGAGAATTAGTAAGCCTTGGATTAAGAGAAGCAAAAGCTAAGCAGGAATAGAGAGATGAACAACTTCTGTAGCTCTTACTCACTCTTGGCTGTCTCTTCTGTCACTAGTGTATAGTAGTAGCAGTATTATATAATGCATGCCCTATCCATTCAGTGGTTACTAGGACACCTGGTTGGTCTGAATGGAATGTTCACTATACTAGAAAGGCAACACTCTATAGATCAAATGAAACCACAACTATCTCGTTGGCACAAGTGACATCAAGCACATTACAGTTGTATGGTATCAATTTTTGTACATATGATCATAGATATATTTGAAGTAGTAGGAAACAATTGCGGGACTTATGTTTTTCCTTTTGCACTAGATAAACTAATTGGCGTATCAAACTATGCATAAGCTGTTAATATTTACTTTGTAATAATAAACAGCATTTGTTTTCAACAAATAAAAATATACAAAAATGTTAGCAAATTATGTATTAGTTATAATACCTGGATATTCAGCAAAAAAAAATTAGCAAATTTAAAGTTTCACTGAACATAAATCTCATACAAACCAACAGTAACATCTTCGTTAGCAGTAGATTCATCTCCACAGACCCTCAACTCAATATAGTCAGTAGTGGTAGTGCTACCATAGTCTCTGTGAAACCATGGTAGCCCTGGAGCAGAGCAGCAAGTAAGTTCAAGAGAACCACAACCTTGACCATCCCAGAGTGGATCATTCACAAAGAGTGTCTGGCCTGTATTGGAAGTTGGATTACCAGACTCACAGAAATAATTATTTCCAATGAAAGCTTGAGGCTGCTGGTTGCATCGGCATGGATTGACATTATGAGTATCGCTCCAGCCTGATATCAGTGTCCAGACGTGTTTACGAGGAGACCCACGAGTGATACTAACACCATCAACGTAGTTAGAGTTCAAATTACCAGTGACTGTAGCATCAGTTGATGCAAACTGATATCCTGTTACTCTACCACATATCTGAGAATAACTGATACCATTAGATGGGAACTGAACTGATGCACAGCTACCAATACCAGAGACAGGTCTACCACAGCACCTAACCCCACCCGATTGATAGAGCCTCAAAGCTGAAGGACAATTTTCTGTAGCATCAGTCATATCCAGATATGCTAGTCTTGTCCATCCTCCTCCTGAACCACACAGCTCCCCCATATTGCAGTAAGTTTCATATGTTCCATCTCCACTAGCAGTAGAGAGTATATAAGTACCTGATGGACTATTTGGTTGCTCTTGCTTAACTTGCTTACAAGAGGTAGGTAAAGCAGTTGAGTCATTGTGTAGTACTAACAGCTGCTTTGCTACTAGTAATATGTCACTAGCCACTCCAGCAGTAGAGGTACTGGTGTCTTGTAGATTAGAGAGAGTATTGACAATGTTAATGAGCTTTTGTGCAGAATCTCCGGTTGCTTTCAGAAGCGTTTCAGTTGCATTTAAGATCTCACTGTTATCATCTACAGCGCAGGCCACTGTCTTATTAAGCACTTGGTTAAGCTGACCTTGCATGAAACGCATTTCATACACAAGCTCACTGCAACTACAAATCGGATTATTATCATTATGATTATCGTTATCATTATTATTATTGTTGCTGGTTGTACTACTCACAGCTCCCAAAACTGCCCCATTCATGCTATCGCAGGACTGAACTTTACCAATTTCATACAATGTTGCTATGGCTAAGCCCATGAGGATACCAAATGAAAGTAGAATGATGACGATAATAATTACCAAAAGGACTCTTCCAGATTTACTTTCGACGAAAGAGCCTGCATGCTGATATTTGTAATTGTAATTGCTATTGAAATAGCCCTGGTTGTCATCTTCCTTGCTTAGATCTTGCATTGGAACGTCGTAATCATTTTCTTTGTGCTTGTTGACTTCATAGACTTCCATCTTTAATGGGGTAGAGCCAGGCAAGCCTGCACGTGACAAGTAAATATAAAAGTAATTGTGTAGAAAAGGCTTACTAGATCTAGCTGCTTTAAAATGGAGTTTAAAATAGTTACAAAATCTGACTTCTGCAGCCACTAAAGAGCTCAAGATGACAAAGTCACCACAAGTTGCACCACAAGTCGAGCCACAAGTACAAGATGCTGTAGTTTATAACGAGCCACACCTTCTTTCTGCTAGTGAGACCCCTCCCACTACCCCTCCCTTCTAATTCTCTTCACTGAGGAAAGATGCCTCGAAGTCCTCCATCTTCACAACAGACTCAAGCACCACCCGGTGGACTCTCTTCCTCCTCTACCACGGCAGCATCAACCGGTGTACCCGAGTTACCGGTTGCTACCAGTGAACCGGTGACCGGTGTATCCCACGAGGAGAAGACCAAAGGCCCGGGAGCTGATGAAGTGGTAGAAGACGAAGAAGAAGAAGAGGAAGATGACGAGAAGATACTAGAGATTGGTCATAATGGAAGGTGGCAGAAGATTAACCACCAGGTACATGTACATGTACATTCATAAATTAGTTTTCATTAGGGATTTAAGATTTATCATAAGAATAAATTATTGTACTATGGCTCCAAACTCACTGCCCCCAATTTTTATTACATTTTCTGATACATATTGATGTCCTTATGCTGTGTAGAAAGTTTGAGGTGATTCCGACTTCAATTTTGTAAGTTACGGCCATTTTAAGAAAAAGCCAAAATTCTGAAAAGTACCCAAGGCTATAGCCCATGGTTTTTTCCGAAAATTGGCTCCAAAATCACTTCAAATTTTTATTACATTTTCTGATACATATTGATGTCCTTATTCTGTGTAGAAAGTTTGAGGTCATTCCGACTTCAAATTTTCAAGTTACAGCCATTTTAAGAAATGCCAAAATTCTGAAAAATACCCAAGGCTATAATAGCCCATGGTTTTTTCCGAATAATGGCTCCGAAATCACTTCAAATTTTTAATACATTTTCTGATATATATTAATGTACTTATGCTGTGTAGCAAGTTTGAGCTGATTCCGACTTCAATTTTTTTAGTTACGGCCATTTTAAGAAATGCCAAAATTCTGAAATATACCCTGTACTATAGCCCATGGTTTTTTCCAAAAAATGGCTCCGAAATCACCCCCAATTTTTATTACATTTTTTGATACATATTGATGTCCTTATGCTGTGTAGAAAGTTTGAGCTGATTCTGACTTCAATTTTTTTAGTTACGGCCATTTTAAGAAAATGCCAAAATTCTGAAAAATACCCAAGGCTATAGCCCATGGTTTTTTTCCAAAAAATCGCTCTGAAATCATTCCCAATTTTTATTACATTTTCTGATACATATTGATGTCCTTATGCTGTGTAAAAAGTTTGAGCTGATTCCGACTTCAGTTTTTCAAGTTACAGCCATTTTAATAAAATGTCGAAATTCTGAAAAATACCCAAGGCTATAGCCCATGTTTTTTTTCAAAAAATGGCTCCGAAATCACCCCCAGTTTTTATTACATTTTCTGATACATATTGATGTCCTTATGCTGTGTAGCAAGTTTGAGCTGATTCTGACTTCAATTTTTAAAGTTATCGCCATTTTAAGAAAATGCCAAAATTGTGAAAAATACCCTGTATCATTGAAGTACTGATACATTATACATTACTGATGTTCAGTATAAGGTTCTCTAGTAGCACTGAAGTACTGGTCCATTGTTCATGATTAGGTGACACGAGATGTTCCAGGGATTGATGATGCTTACTTAGCAATGGACACTGAAGAAGGAGTGGAGGTCGTGTGGAATGAAGTCATCTATTCTCAGAGCAGCAGGAAAGCTAACAGA